TGGACAAGTTTGTAGCAACCTTCTACAGTGTTCTTATTGGGATACGATGAAAAAAGTTTTTGGCAATGGTTCAGCTATGTTATAGAAGCCACATTCGGGTTGATGTTTTCGGATATAGAAAAGAGGTATTCAGGGTTCTTCGGGTTTTAGTGTTGTTTCTGTGGGTAAGTCTTGAGTTTTTGTATTTATCAAAGGGGTTTTGTAATTTCGGGGTTTGACGCAGGGATTCCCTTTTGTCGTCAGACTGCTTGCGTATTGGGTTCTGAAAAACGTGTTTGGGGGGTCCCTTGATGTTTTGCCCACGAAACTTTTGCATCTTTCAAGGGATTATGTATACCCCCGCAGAGGATGGAGGCTTGTCTGCCCACTATGGTGATGTCCTTGTGGGGGGTTGTGGGGTAGATCTTGGAAGATTTTTTTTCAAAATTTGGGAAAAATGTTTGGCAATGGGTTGGTGGGAAGGGCTAGATCTTTCCGGGAGGTCTTTTCTGGGTGGTTGAAGATTTTAGTGCTCGCCTCTGCAGTCTCTGTGAATGACGAGGGTAGTGGAGTTTTTGGAAAAAAACCGTTCAAATTTTTATGCATTCTTCCCCAAGGAAAAAACCCTCTGAGATTCTGAGTGCACGCAGGAAAAAGCCTATAATTACACCAGTTGGGTTTTGGTGTCGTGGTGAGAGTAGAAGTAGAAATCGTTTTGGTTGGGGGGTTTTTCGATAGACTTAAAACGAAGTTCGGTCACTTTGCAGAGTAAAAATCAAGGGAAAGAAGGTGTTTTCGACCTCTTCTTTAATCCATTCACACTTTAAGAAAGGTCGCAACACAAACCAAAAAACCTTTTCTACTCCTTGCATGTCCTCTCCCAACCCTACTTACAAATAACCCCTTGATCCGCTGACAGGTACCTTTTAAACAGGTACCATTCTCTGACCCACGTTCCCTTTCTTTTTTGGGGGAAACATACTCAGTTCTCACTCCTCTCTATCTAAAGGTCCAATCCCTTACTCCCAGTCACCCCACGAGTCCCAACAAAGAACCGGGGGTTTCTCTTTTTAATCGTCCCCGTCGCCTTTGTGCTGGGGTTAAACCCTGGCCTATTCTAAAGACTAAGAACACTCCTCTCCAGCACTATTCTTGTCGTCCCCTCTTCCCCCTATCCATTTGGGACTTACTGAACTTTGTTCGTTCTTTACCCCAGGGAGTTCTGTTTGTGACTTGAAAAAGCCCCCTGTTGGGGGAAACGTAGTCAATAAAGGATCACATTATACTGCATTTGTGTTTATATTGAATAAATTAGCAGGTTTTACAGAGGTGTTCCGCCTGACAAACTTTCGGACGTTTTTCAATAGAAAATTTAGGCAAATTGACAGTGATAAGGAATATGATATTGTTTTTTGGGTTTGTAAAGCCCTTTGACAGAGACCTCACAAGAGCTCTTAAAAAGTGGGCTCGGTATAGAGGGGAAATTCTAGCAGGATTGAGGGAGGCTTACCAATAAAAACAAGAGTTTCCAAATTTAAAGGGGTGAATCTGAATGGGGGTAGTCACTATGGCGTTCCACAAGGATCAGTTTTAGGCCCTCTCTTGTTCATAAATTTTCATTTTGACCTTTATGAAGGGATTATTGAATATAATTTTTCTGGATACAAAAATAGGCCGATAAATTTACTCTGAGGGGATATCAATGAACTCCAGGGCGATTTTTAACAATTAATGTCTTGTCTGAGAAATGGCAGTGAAGTTTAATGGGATAATGTAAGGGGACTTCCCTTGGTAATGAAAATAACCTCGAAAACATAATCAGGTGAATAGAGCTTTGGTCTACAGAAGGAAAAAACTTGGGAGTCATGGTAAGCAGAAATTTAAAGCCAAGACAGCCGTGCCCCAGTGTGCGCAAAAAGCCAACAGTTCTTTGGTTTATTCAAAAGTATAAGTAACAGAAGTCCAAAGTTATTTTACAGCTCTATACACACTAGGGGGCTCATTTTTGATTATGCTGCTCATTTTTGGGCCCTTACACAGGGTGGACATAGACTCATTAAGAACATACAGGAAAAAATGAATAAAATGATTTTCTGTGTAAGGAACCTCCCGTATGAAGATAACTTAAAGCCTTAAATTTCCCCTCTCTGGAGAGGGAGAAAAGGGGAGATATCATTGAAGTGTATAAGGGAGACGAGCATAAAATGAGGGGGTCGAACCAGGGAAGAACCAGGGGAAAATGGATTTTGTTGGATAAATTTTGATTTTGAAAGGACATAGTAAGTACTGGTTTTTTAACAGGTTGTGATGCGTGGGAAAAGTCTTCCCAAGGGGGGAAAAGGTTAGGGGCCCTTGGGTAGCTTTAAAAGAAACTGACAAATATATGAGGGGGGGCTGGGTTTAAAATTTGGGGTCAAGGGGTTTTCGGGAGTTTTTTCTTTAGTAGCTTTAGGTAGATGTTTGTTTTTAAAGGACCTGCTCGTATGGGCCAGTAGGGCCCTTTTGCAGTGTCCTACTTCTTTTGTTTTATTTATCAACTTTTTTTGTACCGACTGAAGAAGCCTACTGTGTAGGCAAACGTTTCGAAAAAAGTACCTAACTGTTTATATGTGTCTTACCTAACAGCCTATTCTTCGTCTGTCCCCTCTTCCCTGTCATCCCCTTTGGGGGTCTTTCGGGAAATTCGTTGTTTTGCTCGTATTCTGTATGTTGAATTGATCAAGGGCATAGGACCGAAACTTTTCTATAAAAGTCATGTTTGTTACGTGGTTTTTTTAAACCAATTTTCGGGTATTTATTAACCCAAGGGGTTTTATAAACCTTGGTAATAAAAACCGAAAGTTGTAATAATGGTTCAGAGAACCGACATGTTGATAAAAATTTGACACATGTGCAACTCTTGGGTATTTTATTGAGGAAAAAGTTTTCGCCACACAGTCCATACAAAGGAGAATCTTGAAAAACAGGAGGAAATGAGGGAATCAGTCCCCCAACCTGAGTCTGTGGGCAGTCCCCAAAACTTGATAAACCACTGTGTTTGGGGAAAGTTTCCTCAATAAAGATACCCAAGAGTTGCACATGTGTCTAATTTATCCACCGACAAGTTGGTTTAGAAAGACACGTAAGCAAACACTATAACAATATTTATTAGAAAACGTTTCGGTCCTGGGACCTTGATCACTTCTAACATACAGAGGTAGAAAGACATTATATATATAGGCGGAGAGTGAGATGTGACGCACGTGACCTGAGGAATGTCATAAGAACATAAGAATGGAGGAACACTGTAGAAGGCCTACTGGCCCATGCGAGGCAGGTCCTTATCAAAACAACCTCTGCCTATGATGAGGACGGGTAGACGATGAAATCATATGACTCCTGTGTTGTTGGGTTGGTGCTGCTTAAGTATCATGTATGCCAATGTTTTTGAAATTTTGTAGTTTCCAGTGTTGCGTTCTATAGTGTCGGTGACGGCGATTAGTGAGGCTTCTAGGCACCGTCGGCGTCTGAGGTCTGGTTCGGTGAGAACGAGTTGTGCCTCGTTCCAGTTCATCAAATGCCCCGTGGAGTCTCTGTGGAGGACACAGGCGTACCTTACATCGTCTCTGTTAGAGGCATTTCGATGCTCATTCAGGCGGACTGCAAGATCTCTGCCTGTCTCGCCTACGTATTTCTTGGGACAGAACCCACAGGGGATAGTGTAGACGCCTGCTGTAGAAGTTAGAGGTGTGGGGCTGCGTTTCGTAGTGAGGTCTTTGATAGAGGATGTGTTTATGGTGGAAACGTTTGATGTTACTCATAGCAAGTGCCCGGCGAGTATTCGTGGCAACATCACCACATGGGAGTACTATGAACTGCTTAGGGGGCTGTTCCATGGGCGGTTTGTTGAGGATAGCTTGTGCCTTGAGTCTGCAATCTCGGATGAAGAAAGATGGGAACTGAAGACGTGTAAAGGCTTGTGTTATGTAAGTGCATTCTTTTTCTAGAAAACAAGGGCTGGAGATGCGAAGAGCTCTCAAGAAGAAGCCAATGAGGACTCCTCTCTTAGTGCGGGTGTCTTGGTGTGAATAAAAGTGTATAAGATCGTCCTTGTTGGTAGGTTTTCTATACACTTTGAAGAGAAGTTTGTCACTGTCGGGAGATCTGCACAGTAGAACGTCGAGGAAAGGAAGTTTGCCATCATTTTCGAGTTCAAGTGTAAACTTTATTGATGGTTCAACTGCATTGATCTTGTTGAGAAGGGCCTGGATATTGAGACGTCTCGGATAGAAAACCAATATATCATCAACGTATCTTAGCCAGGTAACGGTGTTGGGAATGAGGGTGCTGAATTTCTCTGTCTCCAAGTTTTCCATGAAGAGGTTGGCAAGCACAGCACTGAGCGGGCTGCCCATTGCCATCCCAAAGCATTGTTTGTAACAGTTGTTAGGTAAGACACACATGCAACAGTTAGACAACTTTATTCCGAAACGTTTCGCCTACACAGTAGGCTTCTTCAGTCGAATGCAGAAAGTAGGCAGGAACAGTAGAGATGTGAAGACGATGTAATCAGTCCATCACCCTTAAAGTCGACTTAAAGTCGAGTACAGAAAAGTTGATAGAAGCAGAAGATACTTGAAGACGATGTAGTCAGTCCATCACCCTTAAGCAGCACCAACCCAACAACACAGGAGTCACATGATTTCATCGTCTACCCGTCCTCATCATAGGCAGAGGTTGTTTTGATAAGGACCTGCCTCGCATGGGCCAGTAGGCCTTCCACAGTGTTCCTCCATTCTTATGTTCTTATGACATTCCTCAGGTCACGTGCGTCACATCTCACTCTACGCCTATATATATAATGTCTTTCTACCTATGTATGTTAGAAGTGATCAAGGTCCCAGGACCGAAACGTTTTCTAATAAATATGTTATAGTGTTTGCTTACGTGTCTTTCTAAACCAACTTGTCGGTATTTATTACCAAGGTTTATACCAGTCTTGTAATGTACATTTAAAAATAATGTGAAACGTAAAAACACTGAAGAGTTTGGCACCTTTTTTTACAAAATTGCAATCATTATTTTTCTAATTCATTTTTGAAAAAATAGGAAGAAATGTTACTTCCATTTTCACATGTCCAATAAAAAATGTCATTTTATAAGAATCAACTTAAAAAGCTATTCAGTCATACAGAAATAGTTACTATGACAATTATCTTTATAAGCCGTGAACACGACTCAGATGAGCCGTTAATTTTGTCTTCCGATTGAAGGAGCAATCACAATTAGTACACTGGAAGCGTCGATTGGCACCATGAGACTCTTGGTGTCTTTTAAGGTGGCCTTTTGATGCTATCGTAATGCCACATTCTGGACAGGTAACCGAACGTTCTGGTTTATAATGGTATGGTGTTGTGCGATGTCCCTCTTGTGATGCGATGTTATGAGCACGAGCAAGATGGTCTTGCAGAAAATCACGTCGGCTGAAAGAGCAGTCACAATGCAAACACCTGAAGCTTCGATCAGCACCATGAGTAGCGAGGTGCCTTTTAAGATGTCCTCTTGAAGCTACACTTAATCCACATTTAGGACAGGTAACGCAGTATTCGGGTTTAAAATTGTTTAATAGTGGGTGGCGTTTGCCGACCCTTATTTTGCCTGGATTCTTAATATCTCCAGGAGTGGAGTGGATAAAGTGGCTGCCACTCGCGCAGATGGTGCTGGTAACCTGACTGCTATTACAGGAATCAGTGACCTTGGGAAGGCCATGCGAGAGCACATTTTGGGAGCCACCGAGAAGAGAGAAACTGAAAATTTCTGGGACATAGGGAGAGACCTCGACAGAATTAATACTCTCGACATCTGCTCCTGTTGTCTCTTCTGTAGAAAAACAATAAAGACAATAGAGTACGATAATACATATTACGCGTCAATGTCTCATAAAATGCCAAGATCATTGGTAAAAAAAATATAACTTTCTGGGAAACAAGATGCTAAAACATGTTACATAAAACATAGAGGCAGAACTTGCCTACCATTTAAAATCTACTCTGAGTATTCGAACATTTATTTTTTATACAGAGTATTAAGATAATTTATATCCTGTTAATGTGTATGTCTTATTTTATGTGAATCTTTAAAAAAAACAGAGAAACATTTCTTAAACATTTTACGTACCACTGAAACTCTTCATGTCTAATTCGTCTATGTCTTCAAAAAGTTTCTGGCAGAGATCAAGAGTAAAATCCCTGGATGGTGACGGGACAATTTCCGCCACACTTGAAACACGTAACCCCATTCTTGGGGAAAA